CGTCCCGCCTTCGACTCGGGCCTAATCTCGTACCACCCAGAGTGCCTGACTACATCTGTCCGCGCTCAGGGGTGGGGTGTCTATTCGGACGGCCGCCGCCCCTCTATCAGCTGAGATGCAGCAGCGGATTCAGGAAGTGATGGGCTTTCCGATCATCCAGGGATACGGTATGACTGAAGCCTCACCCGTAACTCACTCCGACTTCCTTGAGCCTCATCTGACGAGGCCCGGGTCCATTGGACTGCGGCGTTGCCCGACACTGAGCAGAAGGTGGTCGACGTCGAGACCGGCGAGACTGAAGTTGCCAGTTGCACAGGCGAGGCCGGCGCAGCTCAGGTCCCCGCGGGCCCACAGGTCATGAGCTACTACAACAACGCGCAGAGGCGACGCGCGACACTGCTCACTACTGAGGAGGGCTGCTTCACCCGTGAGGCTCATTGTGAGGATGGACCCAGACGGCTACGTCTGGGTCCTCGACCGCTGAAAGAGCTCATAAAGTACAGGGCTCCGGTCCCGCCCCAGCTCGAGCTTGAGGTGTCGTGCTCGAACATCCTGGCATTACCGATGCCGCTGTCATTGGCAAAGAAGACCTCGAGTCCGGCAGAGATTCCCAAGGCGTTCGTCGTGCGGCGATCTGGCGCCGACTCTCAGCCGAGGATGTCATGAGCTTCGTCGCTGATCGGGTCGCGACATTCAAGCACGTCCGCGAGGTCGAGTGCTGAGTTCATTGACAGCGTACCTAAGAATCCGTCGGGTTAGATCCTGCGGAGAGCACTGGTCGAACAGGAGCGAAGCCGCTCATAGCTCGATGATGCTCGAGTGAACGATGTTGGAGACCTGGTCCAGTCTCACGCTGTGCCACGGCTCTGGCGCCATGCAGTTCGTCAGTAGCTGACGACCGCTAAACTACCGCTCTCTGGGTCCCCCACGAGTAGACTGCCTGCGCGCCCTGTCCGAACGTCGAAGGCGAGGCAATCGTCCCCAGACCTCGTACCGGGCGGTCCGTCGCCGCGCAAATGCGCCATCCCGCGGTGCATGGGCACTCCCATGTTCTCATCAACCCGATCTCCGGTGTGATTGCGCGTCCGCAAACTGATCACCCGTGCCCGACAGCTCCTCTCCCCGGCCAGTACTCGCCTGCCAGCAGCATCTGGTAGAACGCAGCGAGGCCAGTCGCGGTCCCGTACCCGTACCCCGCCTGGGACGCCAGCAGCCCGCCACGCACGAGTATTGCGCGACGATGACCTGACCATGGCGCATCCTTGAATTCGTGGATGGTCGCGCACAGCGTCCGTCCGACTCCTCAATCGACTGACGCCACCACAAATCTGTTCGTCCACTCCAGAGGACTCCGGAGAGTACTCCTGATGTGGGCCCCGTAGCTCTGTCCAGGGGACCGCCTCGATCAGACCGCCTGCTCACCGTGCGCGCCGCCGTGGTAATGCACTTTAGATCCTGGTGTCCACTCCAATCTGAAGTCTGAGACGACACCTCTGAGTAGCTCGTGGTCCTCCCATGCGGCCCCTGTCACCTCGGCGGACGGGAACCCTCCCTGGTGCGTGGATGACTCAACAGGTGATCTCTTGCCATTGTGCAGCTCAAGCATCTCGGCACGTGGTCGCTAATACTGTCAGCCGAATCGCATGTGACTGCTCGACGAGTTGCCACACCGCAGGCGTCACGATGACTTTCGTCTGCGAGAACATCAGCCACAGCGTCTCGGCGTCAGCGCCGACGGCAACGGGATCGACCTTCGCGCGCCCGAATGTGCGCCTTAACAGCTTGCCGTCCTCGCGCACGGCGCTACTGAGCCCCAGGATACGTTCGTCCTACCATAGTCTCTCTATGAGACGATCGAAGCCTGCCAAAGACGTCGGAGTCAATCCGCCTTCTCGGACTCGCGGGCCGGGCAATAGCGCCTGTTGCGCTACTGTAGCCATGTGGGTTCCTACCCATGTGCGGTGACGAGACTGTCGGCAATTCTACACTTCGGCTACAAGTGAAGAAAGCTGACATCCGACATGTACTCCAGTCCAGCCGCTGACGCTTCGTATGAACCTACGAGCTGCGTGGCCCAGCCTACTTGCAGAGCGCAGACCGGGGCACGCTCCACGTTCAGCCTGCATCTTCCGCAATTCCCTCCGCGACAGGGCCTACTACGTCTTCTGCGGGCTTGAGTCTGCGATCGACTATCTCGCAAGCTGGAGTTTTCGGCGAATGATCTCGACGTCCTTGATCGTATGCAATTGTTCGATTCCGTGCTGCTCAATTACCTTCAGTCATTCAATTCACTGGCTCTGTGAGAGCGATGAGGGAAGGCGAGATCTTCTTTCCCAACGAGCCTGTAATCGAAGTCAGCGGTCCCATCATAGAGTGCCAGATAGCTGAGACCTTTCTGATAAACCAGATCAACCTGGAGTCAATGCTAGCGACAAAAGCTGCGCGCGTCGTAGATGCCGCCGCCGGAAAGCAGGTCGTGGACTTCGCCTCACGCCGTACCCACGGTCTGGACGCCGGAATCAAGTTTGCACGCGTCTCCTACATCGCCGGATTCGACGGCACCAGCAACGTCCGCGCGGCTTCTTTGTACGAGATCCCAGCCGTGGGCACTATGGCGCACTCCTACATTTCCACGTTCGACTCCGAGACAGATGCCTTTAGCAACTATGCAAAGTCGTTCCCCGACTCCAGCACTTTCCTGGTTGATACGTATGACACGCTCAATGGCGTGCGAAACGCCATCAAAGTGGCGCATGACATGACCACTCACGGCAGCAGTCTAAGGGCCATCAGACTCGACAGCGGCGACATGGCCCGGCTCTCTGTACATGCACGCGAAATGCTGGATCACGCTGGCCTCGGAAATGTTCGGATACTGGCCAGCAGCGGCTTGGACGAGTATTCGATCTCCGATCTCGTGAGTTCCGGGGCACCTATTGACGGATTCGGGGTCGGCACTCGCGTCGGGACCTCGGCGGACGCCCCCTACACGGACTTCGTCTACAAGCTGGTCGAGTACGATGGGACGCCGATAGTCAAGCTCAGTGAAGACAAAGAGTCTCTGCCTGCCCCCAAACAGGTCTACAGGATCAGCGACACGGAAGGAATGTTTGAGCGTGACGTTATAACAGATGTGGACAATCCTATCTGCAACTCAAATTCAAGCCCAATCCTCAGTCAAGTGATGGAAAATGGTCGCACAATCAACGAGTCACCACATGTCAATGCCATCCGTAGACACCACCGCGAGAGGCTCGAAGGACTCCCTCCAGACCTTCGCGGTCCGACCCCCAATGGAACTATACTGTAGACACTTCAGTTCAACTGGAGTCCCTGGCAGATACAGGCACGAAACCGAACGCAATCAGACGCTGATTCACCGCCACTTAGAAAGGACTAGAAAACATGGCGAGGCTCCCATATGTCAATCGAGACACGCTGAGCGATGAAGCAAAAGCAGTCTACGACAGAATTGCCGACACTCGTGGCTCAGTCGAACCTGACACCCCAATGCCCAATTCGTTCCGGACACTTTTGAACAACCCGGGACGCCGCAGCCGCTGTCGGACAATTGGGCGAGTACCTGCGATTCAACTCATCGCTTGACCCAACAGTCAGGGAGATCGCCATTCTATCCGTGGCGAAACAGACCGAGAGCGAGTACGAGTGGCTCCACCACGAGCCGGTCGCCAGGGCCGTCGGAGTCAGACCAGCAGTTATTGCAGCCATTCAATCCGGGCGCGCCCCGATGGGCCTGCCGGCCAAAGAAGGCGTGTTCGCCCAGGCCGCCAAAGAACTTGTAAGCAACGGAGACCTCACAGATCGCACCTTCCAGGCTATTGAACATCTCATTGGCCCCGCCGGAGTCGTCGACTTCGTCGTCCTGGTCGGATACTACGCCATGCTTGCCACGGCGCTCAGGGCGCTGGGCGTGGACGTAGAGGACGAGTTGAGGAAAGACTGACGACTCTACTCCGCCGCCCCTGACTCGCGTAGAGCAACGATCTCTTCACACCCGAGTATCCCAGCTCGGACAGCACCTCTTCCGTGTGCTGACCCACGGTTGCGCCGAGGGATCGAATTGAGCCCGGAGTTTCAGACAGCTTCGGGCCGATTCCAACTTGCTGCACAGGTTGCCCATCTACTTCCCCGACATCCACAACCATCTTCCGGTGCACGTTCTGAATGTCAACGACAACCTCGTCCAGTGAACTCACTCTTGCCACCGCAATGTTGGGGCGCCCTGAAAGTAGCTCCCACCACTCATCACGGCCCTTTGTTGCGAACACATTCTCGAGTTCGCTACGCACGTAAACAGCCCTTTCCGGCTCGAACTGCCCTCCGATCAGGTCCTCACGTCCGAGCGCTTGGCAAAGGGCCGACCAGAACCACGGCTCTATACAGCCGACACTGATGTAGCCTCCGTCCTTGCATCGGTACACGTTGTAGTAGGGAGCGCCCCCATTCAGGCCCATTTCTCCCCTCGATGGTACCGTCCCAGTGGCGAAGTATTCTGATATCAGGGAAGCCAGCATATAGGCCACGCCATCCGACATCGCAATGTCGACGTATTGGCCCCGGCCAGTGTGCTGACGCGCCATCAGCGCGGCTAGAATCGCCATAGCCGCGTGAAAGCCTCCGCCCGCATAATCTGCAATGATGTTGTAGGGAATTACCGGTGGACCCTCTGAGGCTCCGATCACCCCAAGCGCTCCCCCTACGGAGATGTAGTTGATGTCGTGTCCGACCAGGTGCGAGTATGGCCCATCCTGGCCATATCCAGACAGCGAACAATAAAACAAGCCTACGATTGATCTCAGCGAGTGTCTCGTAGTCGCATCCGAGTCTTGAGACAACACCAGGACGAAACCCCTCTACGAATACGTCGGCATCTTCAACCAGCCGGTGCAGCACGCCCTGCGCGTCCTGGTGTTTCAGGTTGAGCGCGATACTGCGCTTGTTGCGATTCAGTGCGTTGAATGCAGCCCGCCGCTCGATCTCAGCCTGTGTTGTCCTGGCCCCACGCTCACGTGCCATTCGACCACCGCCCGGCTCTTCGACCCTAATGACGTCAGCCCCAAGGTCTCCCAGCGCCATGGTGCAGAACGGGCCGGGCGCCATCCTGGACAGGTCCACTACCTTGATTCCCTTTAGTGCGGTTTCCATGTAATTCCCCCGCGGTCAGGACTGTTCGAGGACGCCGCTCCCGAGGAGCAAGGCCACAGCTTCAGCATCGAGACCGAGGACTTCGGACAGAATCTCCGCGTTATGCTGACCAACAAGGGCCTGCGGCATTCTCAACGCCCCGGGCGTCTTCGATAGATGATAAGTCAGCCCGTCGTACGGCATTGGCCCGCATTCCGCATGGTCCAACCACTGGAAGAATCCCCTGTGAGCCACCTGCGGGTCTTCCCACAGATCGGCCTGACTCTGGACCACGCCCGCTGGCACACCGGCATCCTGTAGCTGGACCATCAGCCTTCGAGCAGACTTGTCGCGCGTCCACACGCCAATCTGTGCGTCGATCTCCTCTATGTTGCGGCGGCGGTCTGCCCGATCCTAAACTTTGCGTCACCGGCAAGGTAACTTCGACCCATCTCGCCGCAGAGCGCCCTCCACTGCTGGTCGGTGGATACCGCAATTGCGATCCACTGCTCACCCGTCTCCGGTGTAACTGCGCTCAAGGTCTGCGCATCGATAGACGTTGTGGGGTGCCGCTACGTCGTCTTGATTACCACGCCGATCGAGTACTGTACCGTTGGTAAAGTAGTCCATGATAGCCGGAGCCAAAAGTGAGTCGCGCACTCGTACTGAGAAGATCGATGTGTTGACCCTTACCCGTGCGACGTCTGAACTCCAATGCGGCCACAATCGCCGCGACCGCATTCGGCGGATTGATAAAGTCCGAGTAGGCGCCATATGGACCGGCCGGTTCCCGGTCCGGCCAGCCTGTGATGTGATAGAACCCTGCCATTGCCCCCGCAAGTTGCCCGAAGCCCGCAAAGCTGGAGTGTGGCCCAGTTTGCCCCTGCTGACACGTGCTGAAGTAAATGACCTCAGGCACGATACGTCGAACGTCCTCGTACGCAGCCCACCCGGCCACTACTCTGGGGGTGAAGCTCTCTGCGATTACGTCGGGCTGCCACTCACGAATCAGGTCCGTAACCAGTTCCCTACCCTCTGGAGTCGCAAGGTTCAACCCCAGCCCTCGCTTGCTGGAGTTGTAGTTCGCCGAGAACTGGCTGCGATTGATCCAGGCTCACCCGTCTTTGAATGGGCCCCACCACGCAGAACGTCGGGCCTGGATACCGACTCTAGTCGGATCACTCCGCGCCGAAGTCAGCCAGTGTTTGATCGTTATCGGCCCGACTCCGACCCAAGTGAAGTCAGGACCCGGATGCCGTCGAAAGGCATGCGCCTGCTATTCGTCTTCACACACCCTTGCCCTTTTTCGGTGCGAGTGACTTCTGCATTGTCTCGGCCAGAATCTCACTGTTATGCTCTCCTAGGCTCGGCGCGGAACGCTGACCTGAATCGGACTCTCGCTCAACTTGGCCAACGGACCCCAGGTGAGTCAGCTTTCGACCGAGCCCTGGGTGCTCCATCTCTCGCCAGAAGTCCCGTGCCGCGAGCTGTTCGCTGAGCGCGATGTCTTCTACCGTATGACAAGGGGCGAGCAGCATCCTGTAGGCTATCGCCCTCATGAAGAGCTCGTCTTTCGATTTGGTCGCTACGTACTCCTCTCCACCTCCCGCTGTATGGCTCCGAATTGCTCGATGGCCTTTTGCTTGCCCCTCGCCGCTGCGGTTACGTCCCATTCATCCCAGTCGATCAGATATGCCAGTCTGGGCCGACCCCTTCTTCAGACATCCAGGCAGTGAGACCGGAGAGAGTCCTCGGATTCATGAGTAAGCTGACGTGACCGTCCGGCAGACGAAACACCTGCCTGACGGGTAGTTGTCCCCTCAACGAAACGCCCCGTCTCTCTCTACGTTCTCGCCGTGCAGGCGGCGGAAACGGCGTCGCGTTCATCAGAGTCCAGATGACGGCGGTCTGCATCGAAAACATCGACGTGCTGACCCTCACCATTCTTCTGCCTGTGCCAGAAGGCAGCCAAAGTCCCGGCAGCCGCGTGGGCGCCGGCGTGGAGCTCAGCCTGCGGGGCACTGACCCGGACCGGCGGACGGTCTGGCGTCCCCGCAAATGTACTGCATACCGCCCATCGACCACGCCACGAGGTCCGGCGCTTCGTGTTGAGAGTACGGCCCCGTCTGGCCATATGGTGTGATAGAAGTGTAGACCAGCCCGGGATTAACTGCCGAGAGGTCGCTGTATCCTAAGCCTAGGCCCTCTAACAGCCCCGGACGAAACGACTCGATCAGGATGTCTGCCCCACTGACCAAACGTACAAGTTGATCGCGACCATCACGAGAGTCAAGGTCAATTGTCACGCCACGCTTGTTCGCGCAGTACGCCGCCCAAAACAGACTCCTGTCAGGCCCGGCCTCACCGTCCACAAACGGCCCGACAGATCGAGTAGGGCTTCCTCCCGGCGGCTCCACCTTGACTACGTCCGCCCCAAGGTCAGCAAGCACCTTCCCGCACCAGTTGAACCCGCCTTCAGTCAGGTCGAGCACCCTGTATGGCCCAAGTGCCTGGCCGTCGATCTGAGACTGTGTCATGGTTCAATCCTGGTGCGCTTGGGACGACCGCCAGCGTATTCAAGGGTTGCAGGACTGTCAACTGAAATTTAGTCGGCAGCCTGCCTGACCGGACGACCATCCGAAGCTACAGTTTCAGGTGATTCTGAAGGAGGGTCAACGTGCTCGTAACTCGGCCCCTTGAACGCCGACGCCACTACGCCGACCAGAACGACAACCGCCATCGCCGTGTAGGCGACCCTCAGGCCGGACGTGAACGCAGCCAGCAGTCCGGTGCTGCCCTCCTGAGACACTCCCGCTAGCGACGGCTCATAAACCCATTGACCCCATGGTAGCAGTCACGATTGCAGTCGCTATCGCTATGCTGCACAGGTTTCCTGAGTTGCGGACGAGGTTCAGGAAGCCGGAGATGACTCCGAACTTGCTCGGCTCGACCGCGCTGAGCACCGAGGAGTTGTTTGGAGCGTTGAACATTCCGATGCCCCGTACTTTGAAGTATCATCCCTGCCATTGCGAAGGCGAAATGCGTATCGGGCTTGAGAGTCGATAGTATTAGTAGCCCTGCTATCGAAGTCAGCAGTCCGCCCATAGTGAACCAGCGCCACCCGAACCGATCGGATAGTCGCCCACTTAGCGGGCCCGTGACAATCATCCCGACAGCGCCAGGTACAATCAGCAGACCCACCTGGCCCGGAGAGAGACCTAGTACCGCCTGGAGGTAGAACGGCATCAGGAATCGAACCGACTGCATGCCAAGGAAATTCAGGAAGCTTGCGAGGACGCCAAACGCAAAGAGGCGCCGCTTGAACAGCCGGATGTCCATCATCGGGGAAGAACTGCGCAATTCCTGCGCCACAAACGCTACCAGGAGCGCCGCCGACCCGGCGAACGCAAGGATGACTAACGGGTGACCGTATCCTGCTGACGGAGCCCAGGTCATCGCGTTGAGGAACACGATCAAGGCTCCGGTAGACAGTGCTGCGCCAATCCAATCGTATCGAACTCTGGCGCCTCTTGTTTGCCCCACTCGTGCCGAGTCGATGAGCACCAGGGCCGATATTATCGCCACCGAAGCCATGACTGCGGTGCCAAAGAACACCCATTGCCATCCGAGGACCTCCACGAGGAGACCCCCGATTGCAGGCCCGACCACGCCTCCCGCCCCAACCATACTCATCTGAAGACCGAGGGCTTTCCCTCTCTCTTTGGGTGGGAAGCTTGCGACGATCATTGCCATCGAAGTCCCTTGCGTCATAGCGGCGCCCACGCCTTGCACGATTCTTATGACGATCAGGGAGGTCATATTGGGCGCGAAACCAGCAGCGCACGCGGCCACTACGAAGATAACGAAACCTATCAGGTAGATTCTCTTCCGGCCCGCAATGTCCGCCAGTCGGCCCATGGGCAGGAGCAGCGCGCTGATAGTGAGCGTATATCCGATCAGTACCCACTGCGTGGTTGGTAAGGCGGTGTGGAAGTGTCCCGAAATGCTTGGGAGTGCGACCGCAACGCTGCCCATGTCCGATACGGATGTGAACAGCCCGATCGCTAGGGCCAGAAACGCCCAGTACCGGTAGTTTTCGCCGCGGAACCGGCTCAGGCTCGGCCCCCGCCTAAATGCCGACAGGCCAGCCCTCCATCCGCCAGGCAGCGTCCCAGAACATGTACTCGTACTGGCTGCTCACCATGAATGCTCTCTCCATGGCAGCCAGTTCTGCGGGTCCTGCAGTTTCAGCGTGCCGATCAACGAAGCCCCGCAGCCAGTCCGCCAATTGCTGGAACTCAGGAGCGTTGTACGCTTCGATCCACCTGCCATATAGCGGTTGGTTCGCAGGGAGGCCTTCACCGTACAGCTTCTGACCGATTTCGCAGTATCCCCACGAACAGGGCAGAATCACTGACGCTACCTCGCCCGCCGAGCCCTGGTGGGCGGTGTTGATCATGTGTCGCGTGTACGCCCAGGTCGTAGGCGATGGTTCGGTAGCCAATAGCTCCTCTTCAGTGATCCCAAAGTCCGCGCAGAAGCTCACGTGCAGCGCCATCTCGGAGTTCAGCGTCTCGTGAATCAGCGTCGCAAACCAGCCCATATCTGTCATATGGGGGGCTTTGGTAACTCCCAGGGCGATGGCCCGGCAGAACTCGATCAGGAAAACGTAGTCCTGCCGCATGTAGTATCGAAACTTGTCGAGAGAAAGCGAGCCGTCACCAATTCCTGTCACGAACGAGTGAGTCTGTTCACGCTCCCAGATCGGAGCCGCACGGCTCCTGAGCTCGTTGGAAAAGCCCATTCAGCGATATCCTCTCTAAACCTTCCAGCGTCCGGCCGTATGCGACGGGAAAAGTCTGACCCCTAATTATGGTGTATCGGACCCCTTGACACAACCTGACCGCCGTGGCTTTAGTGGTAACTATGACCGAGTCAGGCTACATAATCGCACTGGATCAGGGCACCACGGGCACCACTGCCATGCTGATCGACGCTACGGGGACCCCCCTGTGGACCGCGAGCCGGGAAATCCGGCAAATCTACCCTCGACCCGGCTGGGTGGAACACGACCCCGCCGAACTGTTCGAATCATGTCCTCGATGTCATTGAAGAACTCCTTGAGACCGCCGAGACCCACCCCAGGGCTATCGTCGGCTTAGGCATCACCAACCAACGGGAAACACTCGTCATGTGGGACCGACGAACGGGCGAGCCAGTATCCAATGCAATCGTCTGGCAGTGCCGCCGGACCGCTGAGCTGTGCGACGACCTGAAGTTGCGCGGCTACGAGGATGCAGTAAGGCGGAAAACAGGCTTGCCCATAGACGCCTACTTCACCGGAACCAAGATCCGCTGGCTCCTGGATGAGATTCCCAATGGTCAGCGTCGCGCCGAGGATGGCAAACTAGCCTGCGGGACCGTCGACTCCTGGCTGTTATGGAACTTCACCAACAAGCTGGTACATGCCACAGACGTCACAACGCCAGCCGGACCATGCTCTTCAACATCGATTCCTTCGATTGGGATGATGACCTTCTTTCAATGCTCGACGTGCCGAGAGCTATCCTTCCGAAGTCAGATCTTCCAGCGAGATCTACGGTCATGTCGCAGGCTATCTCTCGGCCGGGCAACCCGTCCGATCGCCGGCGTAGCTGGTGACCAGCACGCTTCCCTGTTCGGCCAGTGTTGCTTCGAGTCCGGTTCCGCGAAGAATACCTATGGCACTGGCTGTTTTGTTCTCGCGAATACGGGCCGAAATCGTGTGGACTCGACCGCTGGACTTATTACCACGGTTGGCTGGGCTATTGGAGACGAGACCGTCTATGCGCTGGAGGGTAGCGTCTTCTCGGCGGGCGCAACGGTCCAGTGGCTCCGCGATGAGTTAGGGATTATCGGCACCTCAGCAGAGTCCGAGAGTCTGGCGTCGCAGGTTGCGGACAACGGCGGCGTGTACCTGGTACCCGCGTTCTCCGGCCTCGGTGCTCCATACTGGGACATGTACGCCCGCGCCGCCATCGTCGGTCTGACGCGCGGTTCGACAGCAGCCCACGTTGCTCGGGCGGCCCTGGAGTCGATTGCTTACCAGACCCGGGACATTCTGGACGCGATGAGACAGGACACCGGCGCGTCGCTCTCGTCCCTCCGTGTGGATGGCGGAGCGACAGACAATCGTCTGCTCATGCAGTTCCAGTCCGATTTGCTTGGAGTGCCGGTCCTGCGGTCCGCCGTCAGAGAGACCACAGCGCTTGGCGCTGGATACCTGGCTGGTCTTGGTGTCGGGTTCTGGGACAGGCCGAATGACATCGAGGGTCTTTGGCAGGCCGACGAGACGTTCCACCCCGCCATGAGCGACGACCGGCGCGAGAATCTCTACGGCGATTGGCGCAGGGCCGTTGACAGGTCCAGGAACTGGGCCTCGTAGAAGACCGACTTACTCCCGAGACATATGCTCGATGTAACGCGCAGCCGACCGCCTTACTGCTTCCTTGGCACCTGACACGACGTTCCGGCCCCACCATCCACCGTAAATCCGATCGAATTCATAGGGTTCGACTGCCTCAACAATGCCACGCACCTTGGCCTCGGACATCGGGATCAGGTTCGGATAGCTCGTCATGAAGCTGACGAATCGTCGGTCCGGCACGACAGTTATACTGTCTCCCACAAGCAGTGCCCCCGCTCCGTCTGCGACCATACGACCAGTGCAAGACCGCACTCCCTCGAAGTGTCCCCCACATTGGATGAGCGTAACCCCGGGAACAAGCTCGCGTGGACTGCCGTCCCAGTACTCTATCGCAGGGTCGGAACGCATAACATGCTCGCGGTCGGCTTCAGGAATGATGATCGGTGCACCACCGAATGTCCTACTGTACTCCACATTGCTATCGTAGAAGTGCGGATGTGAGAAGCAAATGAAGTCGATTCCGCCAGCGTCCTCTATCTGTGAGACCGCCTCGTCATCCAATAGGCTCACGCAGTCGTACAGTATATTGCCTCCCGGAGTCTGTACCAGCAATGCCCGCTGCCCGATGGTAAACGAAGGAGTAATACCAATACCCAGGAGACCAGCCTCTTCGACTCGGACGTCGTTACGGTACCCATTCTTCAGAAGCTCATCCATAGTTGTCCACTGTTGACCTTCCCAGCCAACGTACTGGCGTGGGTCCAAGCAGATCGGACACTCAGCGGGGGGCTCTGGAGACTTGGCGAACTGGACCCCACACGTTTTGCAAATATAGTTCGGCATAGAGTTGCTCCTTGGTACTTCACTCGGGCCTGTACTCATCGAGGGGTGCAACTGACGTGGCTCGTGATATACCTTGTACACTATACCAACCAAAGTGTAACTGGGAGCACGGCCTTTCGACTGTCGCAAACTGAAAGACCCTGCCACTAACCGTCACTCCCGCGAAAGCGGGAATCAGAATGCCAGCGAACTGGCGAATCCGGATATCCGACATTCCCTGTGACTAGGAGACAGCAGCTATGGGGGCAGATTCTCGACCCGGTACTATAGGAGAGCTACGAGCCTCCGGCTACGTAGTGCTCCCAGTTAAGGAGGAGGTCCGGCGCAACCTGATTGGCAAGATCCGCGCAAACGAGGAGCTTTTCCCGGGTATAGTCGGATTCGACGAGTCCGTCATTCCGCAGTTGGAAAACGCTATTCTGGCCGGACAGGACATTATTCTTCTCGGAGAGCGCGGCCAAGCCAAGTCCCGCCTCATTAGGCACATGGTCGGCCTCTTGGATGAGGCAATTCCTTGCATCGAAGGCTGCGAGCTCAACGACAACCCGTTCGACCCCATCTGCACTGAGTGCAAGGAGAAAGTCGAAGAGACTGGCGAAGACGTGCGCATCGCGTGGGTCGCACGCGAAAAACGCTACGCAGAGAAACTCGCGACACCCGACATCACGGTGGCCGACCTGATCGGAGAAATCGACCCCATCAAAGTTGCTGAGGGGCGCTATCTGTCGGACGAGCTTGCAATCCACTACGGGCTCATTCCGCGAACCAATCGGGGAATCTTCAGCATCAATGAGCTCCCAGACCTCTCCGAGCGCATTCAGGTCAGCCTGTTCAACCTGATGCAGGAGCGCGACGTCCAGATCAAGGGCTATCGCATCATGCTGCCCTTGGACGTGATGCTCGTCTCAAGTGCAAACCCTGAGGACTACACCAACCGGGGACGGATCATCACTCCCCTAAAGGACCGCTACGGCGCACAGATAAGGACCCACTACCCTCGCGCCATTGAAGAAGAGATCCAGATCATGGAGCAGGAGCACACCAGGTTCGATGATGCAGCCGACGCGGTTGCGGTGCCGAATTACATGAAAGAAGTGATTGCTGAGATTACCAGCCTCGCCAGGCGCAGTCCGGAGATCAACCAGCGCTCCGGCGTCAGTCTCCGAGTGTCGATTTCCAACTACGAGACCGTGATTGGCAGTGCTTTCAAGAGAAGCCTCCGACTCGGCGAGACTACAAGTCCGAGAATCAGCGATCTGCCGGCGATAGTCGCATCGACCAACGGCAAAGTCGAGATGGAAAGCGTGGAAGAAGGACGCGAGTTCAAGGTCGTGGATGGGCTGGTCAAGAAAGCTGTTCAAAACATGTTCAGCAGGTACTTCGCCGCTCGTGAATTCGACGCAGTCCTGACGCGGTTCGATGAGGGCTTGACCATCGAAACGGGAACCGACATCCCTTCACACTCCTATGCCGACAAGCTTCCACAGATGGCGAACATGGGCGAGATGATAGCGCGAATTGAATCGTCGAACGATCCGTCGGCGATCGCGTCGGCTATGGAGTTTGTTCTCGAGGGACTATATTTGAACAGGCGTCTCAACAGGGACCAGACGGCCGGGCACACCGTCTTCTCCGCCTGACCCCTGATAGAAGGGCAGGATTGCCCGTCTCACTTCCTACGCGAGCGCGTCTTTTTCCGCGTACCAATGATCTTGCCATTCGACGGACACCCCCACGCAAGCACGCACTCATCGCACCTCGGTCGCTGAGCTTTGCAAATCTGTCTACCGTGCTTGATCAGGTACATGTGAAACGCGAACACATCCTCTTGTGAGACCATGGGTTCAAGTATGTCATGCGCCTTGTCCGCTGACACTTTCTTACCTATCAGCCCTAGACGCTGAGACACCCGGTATATGTGAGTGTCCACAGGCATCGCCGGCATTCCCAGAGAGAAGCACAGTATTATCGCGGCCGTTTTTGGTCCCACACCAGGCAGGTCCTTGAGCCACGCCTTCGACTCGTCGAGGGGCATCTCACCAAGAAATGACAGGTCGAACGACCCTACATCAGATCGGACAATATTCAGAACTTGCTTTATTCGGACCGACTTCTGTTTGGCCAGGCCGCCCGACTTTATTGCCTCCTCTATGTCGTCCGTGGACGCATCTGCGATCGCGTCCAGTGTCCCGAACACGCTCATTAGGTTCAGAAATGCGCGTTCGGAGTTGATGTCTGACGTATGCTGAGAGAGAATCGTGTAGACCAACTCCTCCGCAGGGTTGTACCTCGGTTCCCACTCTACCGGGCCGTAAGCTTCGCCAAGTTGAGTCATGACGTCGCCGGCTTTGACCTTCTGTCGCCTGGCTGCCATTATCGACCTCCCGTTGAGCGTGCCTCAATTATCTAGGAGCGGCAGTTCGACCCTGCTCCGGAGCGCGGGCGACTCGCCCGCATTCGCCCACCCGTAGACTGTCAATGGGTGATGGAAAATTGAGCCACCCACAAAAATGATTTAGCTTCCTTGCGAATCTCGACGTTCAGATCACTGCGGTCTGAATTATACTCCAGTGCAAGGCTCCACTTGACAGGGCTTCTGGCGCTCCTTTAATTTCAGACGCAGACCTGCATTCCTAAGTCGCAGTCCGCTGGGCAGCTTTCTTACGATTGTGGACTAACTGCGATTCTATATCTATTGCTTGCATTCTAGGCTCGTGATGCCTCAGGAAAGTCCGAGCTTGGGAGTGACTCTCATGACCCTCGAACTCGTGGTGGGCGACCTCGTTAACCCGGACGGCCCCATCAGACATACAGATCTCGTTCAGCTCTCCGGGCTCGCCAGAGCCAGCATCCCGGAGGTCATATCAGCTTTGGCTGGATCTCCCGTGGAGCGCAGGCGCGAGTTGATCGACCAGATGACCGAGTTGGCTGAACACAACATTGAATTGGACTTCACGGCCGTGCTGCGGGCATCTCTTCGTGACAGAGACTCTGAAGTAAGGGCGAAGGCCGCGCATGGACTGTGGGACTCAGAAGACCGCACCATCGTGCGGCCTCTAATAGATCTGCTCCTGAAGGATCAGTCTTCCACCGTCCGAGAGGCCGCAGCGAGCACTCTCGCGAAATTTGCAGAGTTGGCGAGTGAAGGCAGGTTGGCCAGGCGAGACGCGCAGAGGATAAGCGATGCTCTTCTGACGGTCGTGGAGCGAAGCGACGAAGATATCGAGACCCGCCGCAGAGCGATAGAGGCTGTGGCCTCCTTTAACTCTGACCGAGTCAGGTCAATCATAGACGAGGCGTACTCTAACACCGACCCCAGACTGCGGCAGAGCGCCATTTTTGCGATGGGTAGAAGCTCAGATGCCAAGTGGCTGCCAACAGTAATTAAGGAAATGCGCAATCCTGATGCCGCGGTCAGGTACGAGGCCGCGACAGCGTGCGGGTTCCTGGGCGAAGACGACGCCCTGCCCTACCTGATAAGCCTGCTCAACGATGAGGATAGCCAGGTACAGCTTGCCGCCGTCCGCTCATTGGGAGCTATTGGCGGTGACTTGGCGCGAAGGGCTCTTTCTCAAGCTATGAAACGCGGCGATGATGCGATTGAGGAGGCCGCTGAGGAGGCGCTCGCTGCAATTGACTTCGACGACGACCCCTTGGGGTTCCGCTTTGAAGGCTGACCTTTCAGGGATTCGTCAGCACTCATGCGTTCACGCCATTTCCCGCGCGCCATTATCCAGACTGCCTCTCGGGGACTACAGATGAGCACCGTCGGGGTCATCGCAAACCCCGCGGCAGGCAAGGACATTCGCCGGATTGTAGCCCAGGGCAGATTCATCCCCAATCACGAAAAGGTCAACATCCTCAAACGCGCACTTGTGGGGATGGACGCCGTCGGCGTAGAACGAGTCCTGTTCCTGCCAGACAGCGGTGGACTAGGCCGAAGTGCCCTCCAGGACACCAAGCTCGATCTGACCGCGGAATTTGTAGAAATGACTGTCTTCCACGCGGAAATCGACACCTCTCGTGCCGCAAAAGCGATGCTCGACGCGGGCGTGAATTGCATCATCACCCTGGGAGGGGACGGCACCAATCGCGCCGTAGCGACCGAGTGTGGTGACATACCTCTGGTGCCGATCTCGACCGGCACCAACAACGTGTTTCCCACCATGCTGGAAGGCACCATCGCCGGAATGGCCGCAGGCGTAGTGGCAACCGGTCAGGCCGACCCGGACAGATCCACAATTCATCATAACCGGCTGGAAGTGTACGTGGACGGTCACTACAGGGACATGGCGCTCGTGGACGTAGCCGTCTCCACCGAGCGTTTCGTAGGGGCAAGGGCGATCTGGGATATGTCAACCCTTCACCAACTATTCCTGACTAGGGCTAGCGTCACCAGCATCGGCCTTTCAGCGATCGGCGCGCAGCTAAAGCAAGTCGCCCCTGACTCGCCCGAAGGGTCTGTATGTTCGGCTGGGAACTGGCGGCGAGACTGTTCTCGCCCCGGTAGCCCCTGGGTCAGTTACCAGCGTGGACATCGCGGAGTGGTCGACGATCACGCCATCGGGTCCCGGCATTGAGGTTGACCTTCGCCCGTCTACTATAGCGCTTGATGGAGAGCGCGCGTTCAGCCTGTCGCCCAGCTCGTCAGTCGAAGTGAGGCTGGGTCTGGACGGTCCCAGGGTCGTAGATCCGGACAGAGCTCTTGCCCTGGCAACGGAGTCCGGCGGTCTGGCTTTGAGCAAGACGGTCAACCGGCTCCACGAATCGCGACAGCTAGGCCATTGACTGGGCCGGGTCTGCGCAACTCCTAAGATCAGGGGACGAATAAGTCATGAGATTCACATCACGTCGATCGAATGTCCGTGCCAAGAACGGAATGGTCGCCACCACCCAACCACTCGCGGCTGCTGCGGGACTGAAAGCGCTGATGCAGGGTGGCAACGCAGTAGACGCCGCCGTCACTACCGCCGCTGCCCTCAACGTTGTCGAGCCTCACTCGACTGGCATTGGGGGAGACCTGTTTGCCCTGGTCTGGACGGCAAAGGACAGAGCTCTACAGGGATTCAATGCGTGCGGACGGTCCTCGGAACGTGCGTCGCTACAGCAGCTCCTCACCATGGGACTTCGTAGCATCCCCGACCAGAGCCCCTTCTCAGTTACTGTCCCTGGGACTGTAAACGGGTGGGAGTCCTTGATTGATTGCTACGGCAAAATGGGGTTGTCGGACGTGCTTGAACCGGCGATTCAGTACGCTGACAAGGTTTCCCAGTCTCAGAGGTCATCAGCGACATGTGGCAGGTTGGCGCGCCGAGATTGGCTGTAGGCCCGGCCGGCCACGAACTGCTCATGGACGGCTCCCCCCCAGCCGCAGGCGACATCATGAAGATTCCGACCTTGGCCGAGTCACTTCGTGCAATCGCTGATGGTGGCAGTCATGCCTTCTACAACGGCCCCCTCGCCGCAAAAATCTGCGACTTCGTGCAGTCCCTCGGCGGATGGCTTTCGACTGACGATCATGGCAGCCCACGAATCAACATGGGTTGACCCCATTCGCACCAATTACCGTAGCTTCGACTGCTGGCAGTGTCCACCGCCCTCCCAGGGCGTAAATGCGCTCATGGCGCTGAATATCGCCGAGGGATTCGACCTCCATGGGATGGGCTTCCAGAGCGCTGATACGTTCCATCATCTCATCGAAAGCATGCGCTTGGCATTCGCTGATTCTCTCAACTATGTGACCGATCCAGAGGCGATGCAGGTTGCCACCGCCGACCTGCTCTCCAAGAAATACGCATCAGAGCGCCGAACGCTAATATCCACGGGCCGCGCGCTGACGTCAGTACCCTCCGGCGCGCCCCCGGCGCACCACAATACAGTCTATGTGTCCGCCGTAGACGGTGAGGGCAACGCCTGCTCGTTGATCAATAGCGTTTTTATGGGGTTTGGCAGCGGCCTTGTCGTGCCTGGTACGGGGATCGCGCTGCACAACCGCGGAGCCTCGTTCTCGCTCGATCCAGGACACGCAAACTGTCTCGAGCCGGGCAAACTGCCTTATCATACGCTGATACCAGGCATGGTGACCAGAGACGGCGAGCTGTTTGCCAGCTACGGTGTAATGGGCGCGAGCAGCAGGCGCAGGGGCACCTGCAGACGCTGGTGAACATGATCGACTTCGGACTGGAACCTCAGCAGGCGTTGGATGCGCCACGGTTCAGCGTTCGACTCGGCGAGGGAGTTGCAATCGAAAACACTGTGGGGCCCGAAGTGATTCAAGACCTGGCAACGCGAGGGCACAGGCTAATGGTCACCGAACCACACGGTCTAATGTTCGGAAGCGGGCAGATAATCACGCGAGATGTTGAAACAGGCGTCCTCACAGGTGGAAGTGAGCCGCGAGCCGACGGTTTCGCGCTTGGCTGGTAGCCTGATTCCAGGTACCGGCGCCTACTCTAGCTTGCCATCTAGACCGAGATTCTCCCTACACGAAAAAGGGTACGACCCGCTTCTCGTCGGGGGGATGAGAGTTGCGGGCCGCACACTGAAATCGAGGAGTTTGACCTGGCCCCTCGTCACGGATTGACTTTGTCTTGTTCTAAGATTAGAACAGAACGAACATACGAGTCAAGAGGTTTCCGAACGAATATTCGGCAGTTTTGACGTGAGCTTACCTGGAGGTCGGCTACCCCCTGAGCTCCCTCACCCGCGCATAGTCAGACTCAGCTTCTTCACGTCTACCTAGAGCCCATAGAGCCAGCCCTCGCTGACTAATAGCGAACCAGAACTCAGGGTCAATGGCGATTGCCCTACCAAAGTCCTTGACTGCCAGCTCGAGGTCGCCTTTATCTGCAAGCGCGACGCCACGGTTCGTGTAAGCATCTCTATACTCAGGATCGAACTCGATTGCGCGGTCATACTCCGCAATCGCGTCGTCGAAACGCTCCATATAGCGCAGAGTGATACCCAGATTATTGTGGTAAACGGCGTTGCTCGGATCGAGGTTCAACGCTGAAGTATAGTCACGAGCTGCTTCGCCGAACTCCCCAGCGTCGAGATATGCATTGCCACGCAGGAAGTGCTGGTTCGCGGGGGAATCGACCCGACTTATCTCGTCAGTAAGATGCAGTATGACTTGTCTGAGATAGTCCCTGTCGCTGCTGCCACTCAGATTGGGGTTCCCGCGCCACGAGTACAAGGACTATTCGCTCATACCCAGCGTCAGGATGACCTTCCACTCTTTGTTGGTGACCGGCTGCACTGACAGGCGGGAATTCTTGACCAAGACCATTTCTAGCAGGTCTGGATGGACCTTGACCTCCTGAAGAGTTACCGGATTGCGGAACTTGGCCTGACCTCTGATGTCCACCATGAACCAGACAGGGTCGTCCGGTGTGCTCCGTGGATCGGGATGTTCCGAGTCTGGGTCCCAAGCAGTGTGGTCTGGATACCCAGCTTTCACGACAGTTCCGTAGCCCACTACCGCATTGGGCTTGGAGTTGGAGTGATAGAACAGGACCCCGTCGCCCACATTCATTTCATCCCGCATTGTGTTGCGTGCGGCGTAGTTGCGAACTCCGTCCCACTCTGCAACCTGGTCGTCCTCGTTAAGCAAGTCGTCGAACGAGTACGTTGTTGGCTCCGATTTCAACAGCCAGAATCGTCGTCCAGGCATCAGGTCACCTCAGCGCGAGAGCTTGTCTGCTAACCACTGGGCAACGTCGAAATGTTGATCCAGTAGTCCAGGACGCTCTGTATCATTACATTGAATCTGACTCTGTCGATTGGCTTATTTACATAGCTGTTGGCGCGAAGGCCGTATGAATAGAGTAGGTCCTGCTGCGCGGTCGACGTCGTCAGCACCACAACAGGTATCATTCCTAAGCTCTCATCCGCCTTCACCTCTGCAAGGACCTCGCGCCCGTCCATTCCCGGCAGATTCAGGTCAAGCAGGATGAGGTCGGGGCGCGGCGCGTCTTCATACTCGCCCTCTTTCAGCAAGAACTCCATGGCTTCCTCGCCGTCCTCGGCAAGGTGGAGTTGGTACTGAAATGAAGTCTCGCTGATCGCCTCTTGGGTCAATCTGGCATCAGCCGGATTGTCTTCTACCAGCAAAATCTGTACGGGTCTGCTTTCGCTGCCCAGCGTCATAGCTAATCCTCCTGAACGGCGGAATGGTGAAGTGGAAGGTTGAACCCTCGTCGACTTCCGACTCCACCCATATCGTCCCACCGTGACGTTCTACAATCTTTGAGCACATGGCCAGCCCGATACCTGTGCCGGGATACTTGCTGCGCTTGTGCGCTCGTTTGAACATGCCAAATATGCGGTCTTGATAACGGGGCCTGATACCGATTCCATTGTCGGAAACAGACAGTTGCCAGTTCGTGTCGTTCCGATGGCATGATACGTGAATCTTGGGAGATTCGTCATCCTGCCTGAACTTGATTGCATTGGCGATAAGATTTTCAAGGAGCTGAGAAATCTGGACCGGGTCGCCCGAGAATTCCGGAAGTGGATCGGAAGTGATCTCGGCCCCGGTCTCCTGAATCGACACCCCCAGGTCGGCTAGGGCGTTCGACAGTGCCCGGTTGCAGTCCACATGCTCGAACGGGTTGCCGTCGGATTCCACCCTTGAGTAGTCGAGCAGGTCGTTTATCAGCATTCTCATCCTGTGGACCGCGTCAGTTGTAAACGCGATGAATTCGCGGCCGTCTTGGTCGATCCGGTCTCCGTACCGCTCTTCGAGAAGATGCACGTACCCGGCGATAACGCGAAGCGGTTCCTGTAGGTCGTGTGACGCGACGTATGCGAACTGCTCCAACTCCGCATTCGATCTCGTCAGTTCGGCTGCCTGTTCTTGCAGTATTCTGTCCGCCTCCACGGTCTCGGCATGAAGTTGGGAGTTGGCAATCGCGCCCGCTACCTGGGCCCCAATAAACTGTGCCACTTCGACGTCTTGGTGCGTGTAGGTGTCCTCGCTCAGAGACCTGAAGCTTAGCACCGCCATCACGTGATCGTTGAAGATCAGCGGCACGCTCAGGAACGACCTGATACCACTCTCGTATTCGGGGCCGAGTCCTGGGAAACGGCCAAGCATCGCCTCTTTCGAGCCGGGGTGAAACACCGTTGCATGACGGTTCCTGATTACCTGCTCAGTGAACGTTCCGGCGATCCTGGTTGTCTCGCCCACGGCGCGACCTCGCGCTGGCGTGCCGATCACGTAGGCTGTCATGAACTCGCCGATGTCCTCGCGGATTAAGTTGATCGATATACGGTCGAATGGGATGAGATGAAACGTCTGGTCCGCGAACAGCGCATAAACCTCTTCGATGTCCAGAGAAGACGAGATTACGCGCCCGATCTCGGCAAGTGCGGCATTCTGCCTGGCAAGTCTCTGCGCGGCAGATGCGGCGGCCGCATTCTCGGCGTACAGCTGCGAGTTGGCTATAGCCGGCGCTATCTGCGAAACTACTTTTCTCATCAGATCGAGGTGGTGCTCCTCGTAAGCGCTGTCCTTGAGAGACCGCATGTTTAGCACGCCGAGCACTTCGTTCTGGAACATTAAGGGCGCGGCGATAACCGACTTGAGTCCTGATCGGACCATCCCGGGAAACCGCTGTGTCAATTCGTCCAGGTTGCCCTGCAGAATGATCGCGTCGCGGCTCTCAATTGCCGCCCCAACCATCGTCCCTTCCAGGGGCACGGTGCTGCCCCGTTCTCTACCCGCCGCGAACACACCGAGCACGTACTCGTTCACGAAAGTTTCGGTCTCCAGGTCCACCAGGCTAATGGCTATTCTGTCGAACGGAATTAGCCGCCTTACCTGTTGGGCGAACCCTTCATAGACGTCGTCTATGTCTAGAGACGACGTGATGATCCGCCCAACCTCAGCAAGCAGTGCATTCTCCCCAGCCAGTAACTCCGCCTGCGACGATGCCATCTCGAACGCGTCCAGCAAGTTCTTCTGTTCCGTGACATCGTCGGTGTACACGCTGATCTGAGGGTAGTCAGGGGTCAGCACTAACTTCTGGCTGTACACACGATCATCGACTAGGATCTCACGCTGTCAGTGACTCAAGGCGCCGCCGCGTTTCATGCGCCCTGCCATCCGTGTAAACGCCGTTGAGAAGCGGGTGTAGCGAATCCCAGTGAATCGAGATCAGGAAACATGTCGCGGGCGGCGTTGTTTCGATAGGACACTGTCCCGTCTAACTCGATCTCCACAACCGCGCTGGGGTCGTGGTCCGCCAGTGAAGCAAGTCGAGCAAGAACACTCGACACATGCTGGTGCGTTCTCTCAAGTTCCTCGAGTTCCTCGATGCGTATACGGGCCAGCTCGAGCTGGACTTCCATTGAGGTTTCGCCCGCCTTCTGAATCGTCACGGGTAACACCTCCCAACCACTAATTGCATTCTATCGGATGTTACGGCCCCAGCGTCGCCGCTCGTCTCAGCCGACGCCGATACGGCCAGTTGCTTCAGCCCTTTGCCCCATGGTCCCGACTGGCCCCACTAGTCGCGTTGACATGTTTTCGATATGATGGATACACTCTTCACGCTCTTTGCAGAGCGTGGAGTCGAGTTCAGCGAAGTGGGGCTGCCGCGTGAACTGGCAGGCTGATTCGTCAGCATTATGACTACTCCGCTTGGGCTGGTGCAAGCCACTACTGGTCGAATAATAAGTCATTGGCAGTACGAGGATTGACATGGCCGTAATCGCAACCGGTGGCCTATCTGGAGGCGGAGGACGGTTCCTTGGGCCGGAGCTGTCCCGACGTATCGACGCTGACTACGTTGATCGGCTTATCCTCTCGAATGTGTCCAGAGAGTTGCAGGCTACCGTCGAAGCTCTCGACCAGAGGGAGCAGCGCCCTCCCACGCGGGCCGAACGGTTTTCTCGTCTGATTCAGCGAATCATGGAACGCACAGCCTATACTGGAGGCGGACCCGACCCCTACTTTGGCACGGTCTATCCCGAGTTTCTCATCTCTGAGTACGACGAACTGCCAACCCTTATCGCGACTCGCGGTCACGAGATCGACGACGACGCGTACATTGGTGCGATTAAGACGGTCATCAAAGACCTGGCATCAAGTGGGAGCGTAGTCATCGTAGGTCGAGGAGCGCACATCATCCTGGAGGACAATCCCGACGTGCTCCGCGTGGGCCTGATTGCTACGTTCAAGGACAGAGTGGAACGGGTAATGGTGCGCGAGCGCCTGGGACAGTCTGAGGCCGAAGATGCCATCCGCGCCAGGGACGCCGCCAGATTGCAGTACTTCCAGCGGTTCTTCAACATCGATACACCGGACTCAGCGGAACACTATCACTTGGTCATAAACACCAGCGAAATGAATCTGGATGCCGCCACCGATATTATCATTAGAGCATCTGAGGAGCTCGAGATGGGCAGGTTGTCACGAAACGCCTTCCGCGTCGAGCCGTAGTTTACCATGCCTTTCCTACCGCTAGCGGGAGACCTTTGCACAGCCGTCATACAGGCGATGGCCAGTATCCAGAGGAGTTAGAACTTAGGTTGACTGGTGTGTTTCCAGTTTCCCATGTCACTCTTGCCGGTAACTAGTGCAAGCGTCTTCTGGTGCCGTCAACCCTGCGGCCGCATGGAATTGACCACAATTGGCCTCCCAGTCTCGGGGTGATCGATCACACGGACCTCAGCTCCGTACACGTCTCTGATACGATCAGCCGTCAGAACCTCGGTCGGCGTGCCGACAGCGACAAATCGCCCTCCTGACATCAGCGCGATCTTGTCGCAGAACTGCGCTGCGAGCGTGAGATCATGCACTGCCGTTACGACCGTCCGGCCACGAGCTGCCAGATCTCTGAGCATCTGCATTATCGCGGGCTGGTAGGCGAGGTCCAGATTCGCCGTTGGCTCATCCAGGAGCATCACTGGCGTTTGCTGAGTCAGTGCCATGGCAATGGCGACCCGCTGCCTCTCGCCTCCCGAAAGACGGTCCACTGGCCTGTCGAGCATTTGGTCAGTGTCCGTGATTCTCATGGTTTCTATTGCGATTGACAGGTCGTCCTCGGTCTCCCATGAAAGCAGTCCTAGGTGGGGGTTTCGGCCCATCAGTACGACTTCAAGCGCTCTGGCCCCGGCCGGCAGCTCCGGCGCCTGGGGCACTGCCGCCACGAGCCGCGCCCGGCTCCTTGCTGATAACTTTGAGATATCGCTGCCGCCCACACGCACAGATCCTCGTTGCGGCGATATGACGCCCGCTATCAGTTTCATCAATGTGGACTTTCCAACGCCGTTCGGGCCTCCGATCCCTACCATACTCCCCTCCCCGATCTCGAGGTCCACACCCGACAGCACGCTGCGCTTCCCGTAACCGGCCGTAACTCCGCAAATGGAAATGGCAGCACTGGTGACCTGCTCGACCTCTTGCCGTGACTTGGCTGTGAAGGCATGTGCGATGCGAATCATACCCCACCTGCTCGGCGCCGCATCAAGATAAACAGGAAGAACGGTGCGCCGCAGAAGGCTGTGACCACTCCTACAGGAAGGTCACCAGGGCTTACAATTGTCCTGGCGACCAGTCGGCAATCACCAGAAAAGTCGCGCCGATGAGCCCGCTCATCGGCAGCAGGAACCGGTAGTCAACGCCCCACAGAATTCGCACGACATGGGGCGCTACGAGACCCACGAAACCAATCAGACCGCTGAACGAGACCGCGGAGGCGGTCGCAAGGGTCGCGGCAACGATCAGCGCGATCTTCACGCGTTCGACATCTACTCCCAGCATCGAAGCGTGTTCCTCGCTCAGTTGTACTACGTTGAGAATCCTGGCGAATCCCAGCAGAACAATCACGCTGGGCCCCAGGTAAAGCAACATAACTAAGCTGTCGCTCCACTCGGCCGCTATGAAGCTGCCCATAAGCCAGCTAAGTACCGGCCGCAGATCAGGGTCGCTGCGTATCATCAGCAGGCTTGTGGCGGACGCCGCTAGGGCCGAGATAGCCACTCCCGCGAGTATCAACGTGGTCAACGGCGTCCCATGCGCGCTGCGAGCAACCGAATATGCGACGGCCACTGCCGCGATTCCACCGCAGAATGCCGCTATAGGAAGGATTCCAATTCCGGCGAAGTACAGCGGGACCCCTGTGAGTAGCACAATTGTGGCAGCAAGGCCAGAGCCGGATGCTACGCCAACCAGGTAAGGGTCGGCCAGCGGGTTCTTGAAAAGTCCTTGGTAAGCAGCGCCGGCCATCGCTAGGCCTCCACCGACGATTAGCGCCAATGTCACTCGCGGTAGCCGTAGCTGCCACAGAATCGTACTCCACGAGTTTGGATGATCGGACTCCCCTACCCCTGGGAGTTGCGCCGCGACCATCTCGACGACTGCACTCAACGGAATATGGACCGAGCCCTGGCTGGCGGCCACTACGGCTGCAAGGACAGCGACCGCGGCTCCCGTTCCAAGTCGCCACCAAGGGTAGCGGAGCCCAACAACACGGGAGGCGACAGCGTCGGTCCTGATCCTGTCAGCTTCCCTCACGGCCATGCGCTGGCTACCGCCCTTTTCCATTTCCACCTACCTGAACAGGCCCGGATACACCAGACGGGCCATCTCCTCCACTCCTTCTATGAACCTGGGACTCTGGACAGATAGCGCGTCGGTGCTCAATGTCAGGAGAGTGCCGTGCCGGACGGCACGCATTGACTCGAACGCGGGCTCGTCTGTGAAGCTCTCAGGATTCGATGTGAAGATGACCGTCGGATTCCTTTCGACTATTACCTCGGGGCTGATCTGAGCGTAACCCTCTATGTCATGTGCAACGTTCTCAAGCTTGAGAAGATCGAAGACCTCCTGCATTATGGTGCCTTGCCCCGGAGTCCAGAACCCACCCACGTCTTGGAACACGGTCGGGCCGAGGCCTACAGGCTCCATGGTCGAACGGATTGAAGCCACTCGAAACTCAAAGTCTCTCGCCACGAATTCAGCCGCGCTCGGGTTACCGACAATTCTCCCCCATGTGCGGATACTGTCCGCGATGCTCTCAAAGTCATCGGAAAGTGTGGGAATGTAGAGCACCTTGATCCCGGATCTTTCGAGGTCCTGTACGAACCTGTCGAAGAAGACGAATACCAGGTCGGGCTCAAGTGCGACCGTGGCTTCTATGTCCATGTTGAACGCGTCCCCCACACGAGCAATCTCTGAAGCCTCGGGAGGGTAGCTGACATACTGGTGTGTTCCCACGATGCGTGCCCCTTCGCCGATCGCGAACAGTATCTCGACTACTGCGGAGTCGAACGCAACGATCCTCTCCGGGGGGCTATCGAACGTGACCTCTCGCCCATCTCCAGACTTCACGGAAACGGGGAACACCGCAGGTATAGGCGTTGGCTCAGCAGCCTTTGGCCTCGGCAGGCTGCCTCTGGCGGGTGCCGGCGTGTCCGAGTCAATAGCATTGGTACCCATAACCGCAGGCGCAGGCGGCGCAGCAGGCGCGGCGGGCTGTGGCTGGGCTGGAGCGGAAGATGGCGCGGACTGGGGCACGACAGCGGGCAGTGCGGGCGCTGCGGACGCCGGAGGCTGGGGTTGAAGTGGCGCGCTGGGCTCATCAGTTGAGCAAGCGACTATTCCTATCCAAATGATAGCAAGCCCGAGAAGAACCACTAGCGCTCTGTACACTTTCACCACCGTCACATGAGAATTGATAATCCCCGAGGCGTAGGCTGGATGCACCGGCGGTTCCCCAAAAATGGCCGACCCTGCTTCTAGGACGGAGCAGGGTCGGTCGTGGCTCTAAGGGCCGATTTCGTACCTTTCCTCGAAGGCCAAGATGTCGACGGGAGTAGTGGACCGGGCTCGCTCCGCTTTGAAGCGGAGCCTACCGTTGCGGGACAGCGCTGGACTTCGACCAGCTTCCTCTCTTAGGCCCTCTGACGGGCGCTCCCACCATCTCTAATTCGATTTTATAAGTTCGATACGCCTAGCGCGCGTAGCCCAATGATGAACTGCCATGCGGAATGTGTCAAGGCCCACTCAAAGTGGCCACTTGAAGTGCAGAATTCCGAGCCCCACCCGTCACTCCCGTGATTGAGCCTGTATCAGTTTAATCGGAGGCCACCAGCCTCAGAAGACTTGTCCAACGCTTGCACCTACTAAACTGACACAGACTCGGCACCGTTGGTGGCCTACCCAATCCTGTGCTTTTTCGGTCGTATTGCTAAGTGACAGCAATCGGGGTTGGACCATGGACACTGCCAGACAGTAGAGTGATACGTTACTGACTACGTACCCCTGAGTCTTGGATCGAGCAGGTCCCTGAGGGCATCTCCGAACATGTTGAATCCGAACACGGCGAGACTCAGCGCAAACCCAGGCCAGATCGCTAGATGAGGCGCAACGTAGAACTGGTCGAGCCCAGACCTAGTCAGCATCCCACCCCAGGTTGGGAACGGAGGAGGAATACCGAAGCCAAGGTAGCTAATCGACGCTTCAGCCAGAATGAACAGTCCCAAGCTAACGGTCCCGATGATGATGATCGGTGCCATGATGTTGGGAAGGATGTACAGAATCATTAGCCTGGGGGTTGACGCGCCGATGGCACGTCCGGCATCCACGTAGGGGTTCTCTTTAGTCGAAAGAACCTGAGCGCGAATGATGCGGGAGTTGATAAGAACGCCTTCAATTGAGAGCGCGATGACGATGTTCAGTAGTCCTGGCCCGAGAATGGACATGACGAAAAGCAGGAATACCAGGTAGGGAATGGTCATGAAGCCGTCAACGACGCGCTGAATCGAGTTGTCGACCCAGGTCCCGCTGTAGTACCCGGTCACTACGCCCAATAGAGTCGCGCCAACGAGCGTTATCAGAACGGAGTAGATACCGACCTGCAACGACACACGGGCACCATACACGATCCTGCTGAACAGGTCCCGTCCCAATTGGTCGGTTCCAAGCAGGTGGCCCCAACTGTAGCTAAGCCTGGCGGCGGAGAGGTCCTGCTCCTGAAACTCATAGGGCGCGATCAGGTCGGCGAACAGTGCCATTAGGGACATCACAACGATGATGACGAGCCCGATGGTGCCGAGAGGCTTCTCTCTTATCAACCTCCTCAGGAATGTACGAAACCTGGAGCGCTGGCTACCCGGCCCCGAGCTTTCCAAGCGTTGCGCCAGTTCTGTCTGGGCGCTCCCCTGTTCCACTACATCATCTCCCCACAGCCTACTGGTACCTGATTCGCGGGTCCAGCCAAGCGTAGCTGATGTCCACGAGCAGGTTAATCACAATGATAATCATGGCGATGAACATCGTCAGCGCCTGGAGCATGGTGTAGTCGCGGAATAGCACGACATCCACAATGTACTGACCGAGGCCGGGCAGTCTCCAAATGGTTTCCATGATCGTAGAACCGCCAACTGCGAACACAGCCTGAATGCCGATCATGGCCACGACAGGTATGAGGGCGTTCTTGAGCGCATGCCGGCTGATTACGGCGCTGCCGGTCAGTCCCTTGGCACGTGCCGTGCGGATGTAGTCTGTGCGCACCACCTCCAGCAAGGTCGCACGAGTCATGCGAGCTATCGGCGCGCCAATCGCGACTGGCGAACTAGGGTAGCAGGCACATCATGTATCTGTCATGTATCCCACCAGACTCGGGCCCTGTCGCCAAATGGCGGGACATAAATGACCGACGACGACCAGTTGAACCACAGCGAGCCGAAGATAATGATCAGGGTACTGGACCAGAAGTAGGGAATAGACAAACCGATAACGGACACCGTTCTCAGCAGAAAATCGAACACAGTGTCTTGGCGGACCGCGGCAACAATCCCCACGAAGACACCCCACACACTGGCGAGGACAATGGTCATAACGGCAAGTTGGAAAGTGACAGGGAAACGGCGCTTGAACTCATCGAGGCCGGAGCGCTTATTCCATAGTGATGAGCCAAAGTCGCCCGTAATGAAATTGCTGGCCCAACTTAGGTATTGGACATAGATTGGGCGATTGAGGCCCATCCGCTCTCTGATCTCTTCGTGGTCGATCCCGTAAATGCCGCCCCTGTCTTCAAGCATCTGATCGACGATGTCACCGGGTATCAGTCTAATCATCGAAAACACGATGACGCTGACGATGAAGGACGTGGGAATGATCAGGAGTACTCTGCGTAACAGGTATTGCGCCATCCTACTCTCGCTGGGTCAGGTTTGTAGTCCCTTCAGGAACAGGCGGGTTGCCTGTTCCTGAAGGGATCGTTTGCAGATGATCTGAGAGACTACTGAGCTAGCGGCAGAGGCTTGAACGGGTCTTCTGTCGCGACTCGACCATGCAATGCTAGTGGCCAAGCATGTCATCCAGTGAAGCGTGGTAGTTTGTGCGATCCACGACTGCTGGTAGCAGATGCAGACCCAACTCGGGACTGGGATGGCCGGCATGGTGTCGAGCAGGTAATCCTCGATGTCATACACCATCTGGACGCGCTTTTCGACATCGGTCTCCTGGTCCATGGCATTCAGCATCTTATCCAGTTCGGGATCGTCCAGGTGGTTGTAGAAGCCACCCCTAGTCTCGGAATGGTAGGCAAATGTGAGCCAGCCGTTGGCGTCGAGACCACCGCCCTGGAAGCCGTAGGCTGTCTTCATAGTCGCCCTTGCCCCACACGTTGGGCAGGAAGTTGCTGCTGTACTCGGTGATGTTAAGCTGAACGTCGAAGCCTAGGTTCTTGCGAAGGCTCTCACCCATGAGCTGCAGCTCGGACTCAATCCTGGGTCCGTATCCTGACGTACCGTCGAGAACGACCTTCAGGCCTTCTTCGACACCCTCTTCCGCAAGTATCCGCTTGCCCTCGGCAGGATCGAACTTGAACCACTTGGCCTTGTCGCCCAACTGGTCGAAGTCACGCCACCACTTGCCGTGGCCAGGGTTGATAAATGCCTGGTTGATGCCGAATCCGCCAAGCACGCTGTCAATCCAACCCTGACGGTCAATTCCCAATGACACGGCCTGGCGGACGCTCGCATTGTCGAATGGGGGCTTATCGTTGCGCACTGTCAAAGCACGCGCGTTAGCGGTGTCCGGGAAGATAGTGGGAACGGCATCCGGAGCATTGTCCTTGATCGCCTGGTAGCGCTCACCTGACATGCAGTCTGTATCGATAGCAGTGATGTCGAGCTGTCCTGAGCGGAATGCCGCGTCTGCCGCAGGGTAGTCTGATATGAAGACTTCTTCCACGACGTCAATGTATGGAAGGCCCTCGTTCCAGTAGTCCGCATGGCGCTCCAACTTCATGAACGAACCCGGACTGTATTCAGTCGGGGTCCATGGCCCCGTACCCACAGCCGACTCGAAACTCACCAGGTCCCCGAACTCGTCAATCGACTTCTCCGGGAAGATCGCGTTGTACTGCTGTCCAAGGTTTACGAACAGTGGTCCAAACGAAGCCGCCTGGTTGATCCTCACCTTGTACGGTTCGACCACCTCTACAGACGTGATCGACTTCAACTGGGACTTGCCAGTGCTAGAAAGCTCAAGAGACCGGTCGAGGCTGAACTTGACGTCTTCCGCGGTCATCTCGAGACCCTGAATGGGTCCCTTGTTCTGATACATGACGCCTTTCTTCAACACAATATCAACCGTCTTGCCCCCATCCTCGAGGCTCCAACTCTCCACTAATCTGGGCAGTGGGCCAAAGTTGGTGGCTCCGAACTCGGGGCCGTACGGGAAAGTGAACAGAGGCTCTCTCCAGCCGCTGCCCGTGGTCTGGTTCCGGTAGCTTACAAACTGGTGGAAGTCAAAGCTCTTCGGTTCCAGAGCAAGGATTCGAATCGAGCCGCCCGACACAGGGTTGCCGGGCGCTGTGCTCGGGCTACCCAGTGGAATACCCGCTTCGGCCGCCAACTTTGCGATTCTAGGATCAGGGCCACCGCTGGGCGCTGCTGGTGCAGGAGCGCTAGTTGGAGCAGGAACCGCCGCAGTGGTGGGCGCCGGAGCCGGAGCGGTTGTCGGCGCTGGAGCCGCAGCTGGAGCCGTGGTGGCGCCGGGGCCGCGGGCTCCTCTTCTCTCCGCCCCACCTCACATGGTCGCTCAGGAGACCGGATCAGCGAAGCGCCAGGCTGAACAAGAGATAGACAGTACCTTCTTCATTCGTAATCTCCTAAGAAACTTCTTCCCGAACAACAACAATCGTGACTTGCTTTAGATTGGTCGGCGAGTCGATACGAGCCAGGCGCTCACTGGTGTCGCTATACCTATTGAGTCGTAGGCTTGGGTCTCGTATGAGGGCGGTCAGCGCTAGATCGGTATAGCTTGAGGAGCTGTCCGCGAAGTCGGGTGAGGACACCTCGGTCGGCGAGGTGGAGTAGGGTTCACGGATTGGCGCTATGTTATCAAATCATGTGTCCCTGTCAACTTGACCATCAAAACAGAGCCTGTATCAGTTTAGTCGGAGGCCATCAGTCATGACTTCTCCTGTAGAGTACTTCAGAAGCTATCGAGCGGTGCGACGATGGCATAACAGGCGTAACGCAGTGGAGTGTCAACTGAAGGCCAGTCGAAGGCGCCGACCGCGAGAGTTGCAGGTCTACCGGTGAGCAACTGGGCAGAAGCGTACGTAACCCGCAGCTCTCCGAGGAGGCCTCACAGCTGCCGACCACGGATCACTCGGCCTCAAGTGACTGTGTCCGGCACGCTTACAACGCTACTAAACTGACCCCACCCCCCCA